AAAAAAAAAAAAAAAAAAAAAAAGATTATGGGACGTGTGAGCCGAGAAGCGGAGTTAGTGTCAGTAGGAAATACAGGAGAGCCTCCGTAGCTAACCCCTCCCTGCACTGAACACCTCCTTAAGTTGACCTAATTGTCACTGACCAGACATGCACCACATGTCCATATCAGTGCAGCAGGCCTCGTTGCTCATGCTGACCACCTCTGTATGCTGACCAGTTGGTTACAGTCCCTTGGGTGGTCACCTTCATCTACTTCACTTTCAGATTTTTTTTTTTATTCTTGCCGTACTTCGGGTTAAAAATAAAAAACATCACAGATGTTTACTCAAAATATATAATTGAAGGAAAACCCTTTTATTGGGGGAATTTTCAAGTGTGGAGAGAAAGGAGAGAGAAAAGGAGAGAGAAGAGCATAATAAGCCTTTTGTGTTCATTCACCACCTTCAGTAATTGTTATAATTTTATCTCTTTCTTTGGTCTCTTTTCCCTGTTATTTTTTAACAGTTAATTATCATGTAATACTTGGTCTGTGTTTAACTGTCACAGAGATGTCTGTTTATAGTTGGTTGGGGGTGTTCTCATGTGTTTGAAACCCTCTCTATTATGCTGGTTCTTCTGTATCTACCCCCCTTTTATTTCCAAGGTCATTGCTTTGTTGGAGAAATCAGGAAAATGTATAAATTTTTAAGTCTTTAACATGAGTCAAGGCCAGGGGTGTCTAACCTTTTTTTTTTTCTCTCTCCCCACATTGGAAGCAGAAGTGTTGTCTTGGGCCACACAGTAAATATACATACACTAGTGACAGCTAATTAGGAAAATAAAGATCTGTGTATACTTTCTGTGATACCCAACACCACAGATAAGGAGAAAAAGTCCTCAAAATCAGCATGGGTCCTGTAGGCAGCTGGTTGGACACCCCTGTGTTAAGCTGTGCTCAGCTTACTTTTTTTATTTTTTTGGCCGGAGCTGGGTTGAACCTGCCACCTCCAGCATATGGAGCCAGCGCCCTACGCTTTGAGCCACAGGCGCCACCCTTGAGCTTACACATTTGGGGAAGGAATCAAATTAGTCTATCTGTTAAACATACAGACGCTGCAGTTATGATATGTGAGAAATTGGAAGACAGGCGAGTTGAGTTAGCATGGCCTGGTTTGGGTGGTCACAGAGGCTATTAAAGGGCAGTTGAAGAACTTCACATTCAAAAGGTGGCTCTGTGGTCACAGGGGTATATTTATTTTTTTTAAAGACATTTCTGTAGTACTTGAGCATTTAGGTGAATCAGGTTCATTCCTGTTACCTGAAGTGTGTAATTGTTCAGTAGTTTAATTCTTCCTTTATACCTACAGCAAATGTTAAAAGTACAACCTTGTAAATTATTCATACTCTTTATAAAGTTGTATAAACTTCTAGGAAGGAATTTTTATACCTCATACACTGGGGATACTAAAATAGTAGTATTGTTTTTGGGTAAGGGAATATTGCTTTGCTCAAATAAAGAGGCGCATTTGCTTATTCCGATTCATGTAGCTGAAGCATGGATTACAGTATAGCTAAGAGTCACTGCCCAGGTGACGGCACCTGGCTTGTGCAGTATATGGCTTTGCACTGAATTTCTAGACCTCTACAGTGATTATAATCCTAAAGGCTGGTCCAGAAGAAAGGGCAGATGCGGGCATAACAAGTTGTGGATTATATCTATGCATAATCATTTCCTCAGCTACCATATTTAATAATATGATACCAAGATATTGTATGCCCAGATTCTATTTTTATGTATCTTACTTCTTTTTTTTTTCGAGACAAAGCCTCATGCTCTTGCCCTGGGTAGAGTGCTGTGGCATGATAGCTCACAGCAACCTCCAACTCTGGGCTCAAGCGAGTCTCCTGCCTCAGCCGCCCAAGTAGCTGGGACTACAGGCGCCCGCCACAACGCCTGGCTATTTTTTGGTTGCAGCCATCATTGTTGTTTGGCAGGCCCAGGCTGGATTCGAACCCACCAGCTCAGGTGTATGTGGCTGGCACCTTAGCCGCTTGAGCCACAGTCGCCAAGCCTGTATCTTACTTCTGTTATCATGCTAACTTGGAAATTAATACAAGATGCATCACAGGCATTCCCCAAAATACACATTACCCCCCCCAAAAAATACACAAGGTGCCAAAAAATGTATATGCCTTTTAAGAAAGCAGAAAACTATATTAAATTTATAATACTCAACATGTGTGACTTCTGCAGTTACAAGAGGTGCTGAATGTGACCTGTATTCATCTTTTGTTACCAGTATATGTTGAGTATTAGAATTTTAACACAGTTTCTTTCTGTCTCAAGATGTGTATGCATTTTCTGTGCCCTGTGTGTGTGTGTGATATAAGAACATGTCTGTAAGGACATGGTTGCGTTTCAGCACTTTGTTATATACTTTGTTCAGCAAACATATACTGACTATCTGCGAGAATTTTAGGATTCAGAAATTGGATATAGCCCTTGAATAATCCTATGTTCCACTGAATACCAGGTTAGTGACTTGAACCTGTTGACAAGTTTCAAACAGGGGCTCCACGTAATGTCTTGGCAGCAGTTTTGAGCCAGACTTTGAGTCAGAGCCTCCCTCTCTGCCGTTCCTCATTCTCTTCCTTGTTCATGATAATGGGATCACTGTCTCCTGGCTACCCAGTCTCCAGGGTCTTGGACAGTGTTTCCTGTGATCCCCTGTGTGAAAAGACCATCAGTGGTGATTCCCTGCCTAATGCTGCCATCCCAACCAGCACTGTGGCCACATCGTCCAGCCTGGGGCTCTGCATCCAGCCTCACTCCCCTGATCTGTCCCCTCCTCTTATAAAATGCCAGTCTAGTCAGCTTTGCTTCCATTGGGCTCCTTTTCCTTCATAAGTTTGCTCTCCGTATGTACTCAGACTCACGTCCCACTGCTGCTGACCCGGCCACCCTGCGTTTCTCCCAGCTGGGTTAATGTCACGCTCCCAACTTGTGGCCTCTGTGCCTCCTCTTTCCTCTGCTGAGAGTCGTTCTCCCCCGAGCTTCTGTCCTCACCACAGGAGCAGCGGCCCCACCATTCTCAGCTCCTGATAGCTTGCTGCTGTTCTCTACTGTGCTGGATAAACTTACCAGAGCACATCACACTGGATTAGTATTGCCTGTTGACTTGTTCATGCGGTGCCTTTCCTGGTGGGTTATCCATTCAGGAGCTGTGCTGCCGCCACACTGTTCATTTGTATTAGCAGCACTGACCACAGGACTCAGCACTTGACAGGCATTGAATACATACATTAAATAAACCTAAGTACAGTTTGTTAAGACGCTCCTGATACGTGTTTTAATAGTTGAGAGACACTTCAAAATTATCAAATCATTATTGTTATGGTTTTAAGTGAACAATCAATTTAAAAGTCTATACATTGTTATGAATCTCATGATATAACAGAGGCATACAACTCAGCTGTTTAGCTTCAGGTTCTGGATTACTGAGAAACTCTCACACATAAATAAACCTGCTTAAGGCGGCTCCTGTAGCTCAAAAGGGTAGGGCACTGGCCCCCTATGCCGGAGGTGGCAGGTTCAAACCCAGCCCTGGCCAAAAAAAAATACTGCTCCCTTTAGCGTTGTTTGTAATAGTGAAAAGCTGGAAACAATCCCAATATCCATTAATAGGAGAACAGATGCCTAAACTATTGCATATTCATACAATGGAAATATGTACAATACCGTGATTCCTGCGGTAGCATTAGGTTGTTAGACACTTTCACATTAAGCAAAATGACATACATATGATGGAATGATTCTACCTAAGGCTGATTGACAGAAACAAGAGTTAAGTTCCTGTGGAATATTTCTGCTCACAAAGACACCCAGCAAACTTTCAAATAAAGACCAAAGCACTTCTAATAGTAAATGTTGAAATAAATCCAAGGAAGAAAATTATGTACCCAGTTATTTAAGTTCAGGGTCATGAGTGGCCAGAGCCCATCCCAGCAGCTCAGGGGTCAAGGTGGGAACCATCCCCTAGCAAGGTACATTTGCACACAGGTCCACTCACTCAGACTAGAGCCTCAGACTAAAGACACCCAGCTTTGAGATGTGAGAGGAAACCCAGGCAGACGCCTGATCACATGTGAAGTCCACGCTGGCTGCAGCCCCAGCCAGGAATTGATTTGTTTTTCATCATCAATGTTACAATGAAACAACATTACCTGCTGAGCTGCTCTAGTTAAAATGAATGATCCCTAGCAGCACATTCCCACTGAATAAATCTAAACATAATATCGGGTGGAAAAACTGAGTTGCAGAGTAGTTAGTTACATTATATATCATTTATGCAAATGTCTAAAACATGCAAAACTCTGCTATCCAGGTATATAGGAGGCTAAAAGTACCAGCCAGGGATGGATGTCTACCCATCTAGGAATAGCAGATCTGAAAAGGGGGAGAGGACCGAGTAGGGTAGATGGAGCTTTCACAGACCCAAAACAGGTGGGAAAAATTTAGTGTCTGTCGAATGTTTTGGTGAGTGACTGAGTATTTGTTATTCTCTTCATAATTTAAAATGATTTAAAAATAATGGTTAGAAAAAGGATTATAAGCTGCTGAAGTCATTTTTTAAATAAATAGATGTATAAGTAACCTACCCTCTTCCTTGGATTTTTCATTATTTTGTAA